AATTTTTCTTTTTAACATTAGCCATAATAATTAAATACTCCTAGTAAGTTGGAAAGTAAAAAATAATATCATCAAAGAGTGTCTGTAGCCGATGTCGGTACTCTTCCCAGGTAGGTACTAATCTACCCTACTGCGACCCTCGGGGTGTAAGGTACTAATCCCTTACCTGTTCCAGAATTTATGGATTGGCTTAACGACCCCTGCAGAGCTCATCCTCAATTTAGGTCCACCGCTGCTAACATTAGACTGATTTTAGCAAATGAAATATCCTTTAGCCCCGCCCACCCACCCTTTATTTTCTTAGAGAGTAAGTGATTTGCCAAAATCAGTCTTATTTTGCTAAGTACTAGCCCCAACCACCCGCCCGTTATTTTCTTAGAATGTATGTTATTTGGCAATATCAGCCTTATCTTGCCAACCACTAGCTCGGCCCATCCGCCCTTTATCTTGTTAGAGGCCTAGTACCTACTAAGATAAGACTGATTTTCGCAAATGACATATCCTCCAAGAAAAGAGAGGGTTGGTGGGCGTGCTAGTAGCTGTCAAGATAAGACTGATTTTGACAAATGAGATACCTTCTAAGGAAAGAGAGGGTGGGTGGGCGGGGCTAGTACCTGCTAAGATAAGACTGGTTTTTGCAGATGACATATCCTCTAACCCCGCCCATATCAGTTTTATCTTAGCAAGTACGAGCTCCACCCACCCGCCCTTTATTTTCTTAGAAGGTATGTTATTTGGCGATATCAGCCTTATCTTGTTAAGCTTTAGCCCGGCCCATCCGCCCTCTATCTTCTTAGAGGGCTAGTACCTGCTAAGATAAGACTTAAATTCGCAAATGACATTCTCTAACCCCGCCCACCCACCCTTTGTTTTTTTCGAGGGAATACCATTTGCCAATATCAGTTTTATCTTAGCAAGTACTAGCCCCCCCACCCACCCTTTCTTTTCTTAGAAGGTATTTCATTTGCCAAAATCAGTCTTATCTTGTCAAGGTTTACCCGGCCCATCCGCCTTTTACCTTTTTAGAGGAATAGTACCTACTAAGATAAGACTGATTTTCGCGAATGACATATCCTCCAAGAAAAAAGAGGGTGGGTGGGCGGTCTAGTAGTTGTCAAGATAAGACTGATTTTGGCAAATGACCTACTCTAAGAAAATAAAGGGTGGGTGGGCGGGGCTAGTACCTGCTAAGATAAAACTGATTTTTGCAAATCACATACCCTCTAAGAAAAGAGAGGGTGGGTAGGCGGGGCTAGTACCTGCTAAGATAAGACTGATTTTTGCAGATAACATATCCTCTAACTCCGCCCACCTACTCTTTATTTTCTTAGAAGGTATGTTATTTGGCGATATCAGCCTTATCTTGTTAAGCTTTAGCCCGGCCCATCCGCCCTTTATCTTCTTAGAGGGCTAGTACCTGCTAAGATAAGACTGAATTTCGCAAATGACATATTCTCTAACCTCGCCCACCCACCCTTTATTTTCTTCCAGGGAATGTCATTTAGCAATATCAATTTTATCTTAGCAAGTACCAGCCCCGCCCGCCCACCCTTTCTTTTCTTAGAAGGTATTTCATTTGCCAAAATCAGTCTTATCTTGTCAAGCTTTAGCCTGGCCATGCGCCTTTTACCTTTTTAGAGGAATAGTACCTACTAAGACAAGACTGATTTTCGCAAATGACATATCCTCCAAGAAAAGAGAGTGTGGGTGGGCGGGCTAGTAGCTGTCAAGGTAAGACTGATTTTTGCAGACGACATATCCTCTAATCCCGCCCACCCACTCTTTATTTTCTTCGAGGGAATACCATTTGCCAATATCAGTTTTATCTTAGCAAGTACTAGCCCCACCCACCCACCCTTTTTTTTCTTAGAAGGTATGTTATTTGGCAATATCAGCCTTATCTTGTTAAGCTTTAGCCGGGCCCATCCCCCCTTTATCTTCTAAGAGGGCTAGTACCTGCTAAAATAAGACTGAATTTCGCAAATGACATATTCTCCAACCCCGCCCACCCACCCTTTCTTTTCTTAGAGGACATCTCATCTTCCAAAGTCAGTCTTATCTTAGCAAGTGCTAGCCCCGCCCACCCACCCTTTCTTTTCTTAGAAGGTATCTCATTTGCCAAAATCAGTCTTATCTCGTCAAGCCTTAGCCCGGCCCATCCGCCTTTTACCTTTTTAGAGGAATAGTACCTTCTAAGATAAGACTGATTTTCGCAAATGATGTATCCTCTAAGAAAAGAAAGGGTGGGTGGGCGGGCTAGTAGCTGTCAAGGTAAGACTGATTTTGGCAAATGAGATACCTTCTAAAGAATGAGAGGGCGGGTGGGCGGGGCTAGTACCTGCTAAGATAAGACTGATTTTTGCAGATGACATATCTTCTAACCCCGCCCACCCACTCTTTATTTTCTTCGAGGAATGCCATTCGCCAATATAAGTTTTATCTTAGCAAGTACTAGCCCTACCCACCCGCCCTTTATTTTCTTAGAAGGTATGTTATTTGGTAACATCACCCTTATCTTGTTAAGCTTTAGCCCAGCCCATCCGCCCTTTAACTTCTTAGTGGGCTAGGACCTGCTAAGATAAGACTGAATTTTGCAAATGACATATTCTCTAACCCCGCCCACCCACCCTTTAATTTCTTCCAGCAAATGTCATTTAGCAATATCAGTTTTATCTTAGAAAGTACTAGTCCCGCCCACCAACCCTTTCTTTTCTTAGAAGGTATTTCATTTGCCAAAATCAGTCTTATCTTGTCAAGCTTTATCCCGGCCCATCAGCCTTTTATCTTCTTAGGGGGCTAGTACCTGCTAAGATAAGACTGATTTTCGCAAATAACATATCCTCCAAGAAAAGAGAGGGTGGGTGGGCGGGGCTACTAGCTGTCATGATAAGACTGATTTTCGCAAATGACATATCTTTTAACCCCGCCCACCCACCCTTTGTTTTCTTCCAAGGAATGCCATCTGCCAATATGAGTTATATCTTAGCAAGTACTAGCCCCGCCCACCCACCCTCTTTTTTCTTAGAAGGTATCTCATTTGCCAAAATCAGTCTTATCTTGCCAAGCACTAGCCCGGCCCATCCACCGTTTATTTTTTTAGAGGGTAGTACCTGCTAAGATAAAACTGTTTTGGCAAATGAGGTTTCCTATAAGAAATTTAATTAAATTATTATAAGAAAGTACATTAGTAGAGGCTCCAAATTTTTAAATTTTCGAATTTTCAATTCTTTGATAATTCAATTTTTCCGTTTTTAAGATTTTGGATTTTTCCATTTCTCGCTTTTTGATTTCAGTTCTTCGATATTTCAATTTTTCAAGTTTTCGCATTTTTTAAATGTTTCGATTTCTTACTCTTTCTACTTTCCGGTTTTAGATTTTCTGTTTTTCAATTTTTCGTTTTTTCAAATTTTTCTTTTTTTAATTTTTTGATTTTCCAATGTTTTGATTTCTTGATTTATCGAGATTTGAATGTTTCGATATTTTGATTGTTCAATTTCTCGATTTATCAATTTTCAATTTCCCAATTTTTCGATTTTGGCCTATTTCGGTTTCCAAATTTTTCGACTTTTCGATTTCTCGACTTCTCTATCTTCTAATTTTTCGATTTGTCGGTTTTCCGATTTTTTACTTTTCGGATATTCGGTTTTTCGATTTTCCAGTTTATCGATGTTTCTATTTTCAATTATCCGATTTTTCAATTTTTCGATTTTGTAAATTTAGGAGTTTTGATTTCTCGATTTTACATTTTTCGGTTTTTAAATTTCACATTTTTCGATTTCTTGACACCTTGGTTTATCAATTTTTAAAATTTTTCGATTTTTAGATTTCTCAATTTTTAGGTTTTCGATTTTTCAAATTTTGGATTCTTGGAATTGTTCTAAGTGCTTTAGACTTGGAACGAAGACGTTTAAATGAGTCTTGAGATTGTAAAGATCTCTCTTTTTGTATTTTTTAAAAGCACAATTTTTGAATCGAATAGAATAAATGACGTTATCAGTAAACCAAGGAGGGTAATATTGGCGGTGGAGATTTGAGGGAGAATATTTGGGCACGGTTGACTCAAATAAACTGTACACAGTGTCAAAAAATTTGGACATGCTTCTTCCACATTACCAATATTATTAATTATGAAACCCCAATCAATAGCTAAAAGTTGTTGGTAAAGTTGATGAAAATTCGCTTTTTTTTTAAATGAAGACTTGAAGTTATTTTAACATATGTGTAGCTCGCTTCGCTCGATAAGTATTGTAAATTCCAAAGGAATACTTGATGCCTTTTTTTTAGTGTATGACAGCCAAAGCGCGATTTAGCCGAATTCGCGGCGTTCTGACGCTGTGGGCTTACGTGTAGGTGCTGCACGAACGCCAGTGACCCGAGGACATCTATTAGCACTAAAAAGATATCACAGATGTCGTGTTGACGGCGCTGGACCACACAGGGACCACCCTCGCGTCATACATCAATTACGTACGGTTGGGGCACACCTATAAGTCTCAACCTCTCTCAAAGCATTCATCCCAGCAGTGCATATTAAACCCAACGACCCGTCATTAGAGTTAGCCACGCTACAACTATATAATGTTGTTTGTAATTAAAACGTTTCTTATTAAGGGGCTCCGGGGCCGCGCCCTGCAGAGGCCGGCGGTGTGCCATTAAAGTCTTCCCCGCGTTTAATTTAAAATAATTTGGGACCGGCCTTTCTAATGTTTTAGATGTGCTTTAACCGCCTGTATCTTTATAGCTCCTAAACATCCTAAAACGCGGAATTCGAATACGCACGCACGGAATTCGGATGGTTTTTTCGACTTATAGGGGAATTATTATAAACATTGCCGAAGTAAATGTAAACTGTTTGCGAATGTGTTTACGGGATTCGGGTTTTAGACAAAACAGTTCTTGCGTTGGCGCGTGTACGTGGAAGGTCACTGCAATTTCGACGAAAAAACGTTTCAAGGCTGGGGTTACCCGTGGAATTAATCGTTGACTACCCGAAACGTCAAACTCAAAAATGTTGACACACTTCACCCGTCTTGTCAAAACTTCCTTTCTTTTGAAAATCCACACCCGCCCCAAAAGCTCCTTCGGGAACCTGAAAGACCAAGACCGCATCTTCACCAACCTGTATGGTAAGCACGACTGGCGCCTCCCGGGTGCCCTAAAACGCGGCGACTGGTACAAAACCAAGGAAATCATCCTCAAAGGTCCCGACTGGATAATCCAGGAGGTCAAAACGTCAGGTTTGAGAGGGCGCGGCGGCGCTGGGTTCCCGTCGGGACTGAAATGGTCCTTCATGCGAAAACCCGACGACGGTAGACCCAAATTTCTGGTTATTAACGCCGACGAAGGTGAACCTGGGACGTGCAAAGACCGTGAAATCATGAGGCACGACCCCCACAAGTTGCTCGAAGGTGCTTTAATTGCTGGAAGTGCCATGGGAGCAAAGTCGGCGTACATCTACATCAGAGGCGAGTTCTACAATGAGGCTGCCAATATGCAGGTGGCTATAGCTGAGGCTTATCAAGCCGGGTTGATTGGTCGTGATGCGTGTGGATCGGGCTTGGATTTCGATGTGTTTGTACATAGAGGTGCTGGGGCTTATATTTGTGGCGAGGAAACGGCGTTGTTGGAGTCCCTAGAGGGTAAACAAGGAAAACCGAGGTTGAAGCCGCCTTTTCCAGCTGATATTGGGTTGTTTGGATGTCCGACTACTGTGACGAATTGTGAGACTGTGGCGGTTTCACCGACGATTTGTCGCAGAGGGGGGGCATGGTTTGCCTCTTTCGGACGACCCAAGAATTCTGGGACCAAACTCTATAACATCTCGGGTAACGTGAATAACCCGTGTACCGTGGAAGAAGAAATGAGTATTCCGTTACGGGAGTTGGTTGAGAGGCACGCTGGAGGTGTGGTTGGAGGTTGGGACAACTTGTTGGGGGTAATCCCTGGAGGTTCGTCCACGCCGGTGTTGCCAAAAGACATCTGTGACGACGTCCTCATGGATTTTGACGCTCTGATTGAAGCAAAATCGGGGCTTGGAACGGCTGCACTAATCGTCATGAACAAAGACGTTGACATTATTAAAGCGATAGACAGGTTGATGAGGTTCTACAAACACGAGTCTTGTGGCCAATGTACTCCATGCCGCGAAGGAGTCAATTGGTTGTACAAAATAGTCCACCGACTTGTCGAGGGTTGTGCCAAAATTGAAGAAATCGACATGTTATTGGAATTGACGGTACAAATCGAGGGTCGTAGTATTTGTGCTTTGGGGGACGGAGCAGCTTGGCCAGTGCAAGGACTCATCAGACACTTCCGAGACGAAATCGAGGCTAGAATCCACAAGTACCACGACCAGCACGAGTCAAAGGACGAAAACGAAGACAACCCTTGTGTTTGTGTCCTATAATCTGTACTAGTTCGAGTTTTGTTCAGTAAAGTTATCGTCACTTTAAAGGTATACGAAATTAAAAGACCACTGCTTTAATTAATAAGTAACAAGTCATCTAATTTGCCTCCAGAATAACTATGGGTTATCATCAAACCATGAACACCAAATTAATTCAATATGAACATCTTCTTACGTATTTTTTTTATTAACAGTAGTCAAATCATTAAATACATATTATTTTTGAAACTAAAATGCATTTTATCCTAAGATTGTATCACAAAATATTCATCACCATTTAAATATATACGATTTAGACATCAAGAAATAAATTTAAAATTGCAAAAATTATACTAAAACAGCCTTAAATGTGTCTTGTATGTACGTGCTTATCAGTATGTAGGCATTTTAACGCACAGCAATAATCGTTCTTGATGAGTAATGACTGATGACTACTGTAACACAGTAAATCCCCGAAATCGAAAATTTAAAACACTGACAAATTCAAATATGGGAAAATTGTAAAATCGAGAAATCGAAACATAAAAAAATCAAAAAAATAAAAATTGGAAAATCTAAAATTTAAAAATCGAGAAATTGAACAATCGGTTAATTCAAAAATCGAAACATCGAAAAATTTTGGAAAATCGAAAAATAAAAAAAAAATGGACAATCGAAAATTTAAAAATTCCGAAAATTGAAAAATTGAAATATAGAGAACTGAAAACTCAAAAAATCGAAAAAAAATAATAATTTCAAAAATTGAAAAGTTAAAATTGAGAAATCAAAAAACTGAAAAATCACAAAATTGAACGAAATATCAAAAAATTAGGAAATTAAAAAATTGACAAACAAAAAAGTCAAAAAAGCAGAGTCTAAAAATCGCAAACTTAAAAAATCAAAAACCTGAATAATCGAAAAATTGAAGAACTGAAAAATCGAAACTTTAGGAAGTGGAGAAATGGGAATATAAAAAAATAGATTAATTGAGAAATCCGAAAACTAAAAATTCAGAAACGTCAAAATTTGAAAAATAAAAAAATATTGAAGAACTAAAAAATCGAAAAATCTAAAATTTAAAACATTGAAAAGTTAAAATATCCTAAAACTGAAAAATGGAGAAATCCAAACATCAAAAAATCAAAAAAAATAAAAATAAAAATCTAAAATTTAATAATCGAAAAACTGAAAAATCAACGAATCGAGAAGTCGAGAATTTAAAAAATTGGACAATTGAAGAATCGGATAAATCAAAAATCGAAACATCGAAAAATCGAGAAACCGAAAAGCAAAAAATCGAAAAACCAACAAATCGAAAAATCGAAACATTGTAAAATTCAAAAATTGAGACATCGAGAAATCGAAAAATCAAAAGACAAAAAAAAATCGAGGAGTCGAAAAATCGAGAAGTCGAAAAATAAAAAAATTGAGAAAACGAACTAGGCCAAAATCGAAAAATCGAAAACTTAAATATGGAAAAATTGATAAAGCGAGAGATTGAATAATCAAAACATCGAAACATCCGAATCTCAATGAATTGAGATCTCAAAAAATTTAAACATTCGTAAATTTAAAAAATTAAAATATAGAACTGGAAACTCGAGAAACTGAAAAATCTAGAAATTTAAAAATTAAAATATGAAAAAATTGAAAAATTGAGAAATTGAAATAAAAAACAAAAAACTGAAAATCCAAAAATAAAAAATAGAAAAATCTAGAAGTCGAAAAATGAAAGAATCGAAGTATTGAAAAATATCAAAACTGAAAGAAATATCCAAAAATTGAGAAATCGACAAACCAATAAAGCGAAGTCGAAAAATCGAAGAATTGAAGAACTGAAAAATCGAAACTTTGAGAAGTGGGAAAATCAAAAATAGATTAATTGAGAAATCAGAAAACTGAAAATTTAACGCAAAAATTTGAAAAATTCAAAAATTTAAATACTGAAGAACTGAAAAGTCAAAAAATCGAGAAATCGAAAAAACTAAAATTTAAAACAATGAATAATTAAAATAGCGCAAAATTGAAGAATCGAGAGATCCAATTCAATTTGAAAAATTGAAAAATCGGGGCATTGAAAAATTGGAAAATCCAGAAATTGAAAAGCTCAAAAGAAAAAAATCGAAAAACCGAGAAATCAAAAAATCGAAACATCGAAAAATTCAAAAACTGAGCCTTCGAGAAATCGAAAAATCGGAGGATCGAGAAATTGAGGAGTCGGAAGCCGAAAAGGAAAGTTAAAAATTGAAAAATTGAGAAATTGAACAATCAAAACAACGAAACATCTGAATTCGATAAATTGAGAAATTAAAAAATTGAATAATCGAAAAATTTTAAAAAAGAAAAACTGGAAAACCAAAAATTAAAATTCAAAAAATCAAAAAATTGAAAAATTGAAATATAGAAGAACTGAAAACTCGAGATATCGAAAAACCTAGAATTTTAAAAAATGAAATATTAAAACATCGAAAAGTTTAAAAATTGAGAAATCGAAGCATTAAACAGTCCCAGAATTGAAAAATCTAAAATTTACAATAAATTGAAAATCCAAAAAGGAAAAAAGCGAGAAATCAAAAAAAATCCATCAATTCAAATATCGAAAAGTCGAAAAATTGAAATATTGAAAAATCTCATAACTGAAAAAAATATTCAAAAAATTGAGAAATTAAAAAATTGGAAAATTGAGAAATCGAAAATCTAAAAAAGCAAAATTGAAAAATCGTAATCTTAAAAAATCGAAAAATTGAGGAATTGAAGATGTGAAAAATCGAAACTTTAGGAAATTCAGAAATGGACAAATAAAAAAAATGTTTTAGAAATCGGCAAACTGAAAATTTAGAAACGTGAAAATTTGAAAAATTGGGAAATCGAAATATTTAAAAACCGTAAAATTGAAGAGGACAAAAATTGAGAAATCGTATCATTGAAACATCGTAAGATTGAGAAATCGAAAAATAAAAAAATCGAGAAATAGAAAATTTAAGGAATGGAGGAATCGGAAAAGCCCAAAATTGAAATATTGAAAAATTGAGACATTTAAAGTTGAAAAATCGAGAAATCGACAAGCCGAAAAATCCCAATAGCGTATTTAGGTATAAATCACAAGATCAGGACTATTCTACTTTTTAAAATTTAAATACATAACATTATAAATTGGAAAATGTTGATTTTTTTTTCCAAAAATCTTGACGTCTAAGGTGAAAACTCGACACGGATGCATAAACCGTAAACGGGGCGAAACTACAATTTTACTATTGTAAAATTTGGAGATTGCGTCATTTCATTGTTCGTGACAAATTTTGGAGAGTGTAGTTTGATAATATAATTTGAAATGTAAATTTTGTCATTCGGGAAAATTATGTATTAAATCGTTAAGATGTTCAAGAACTTTGTTCACTTATTCGTTGTAAAGTCCAACGGTCGAAATGGGTTAGTTCTTCGTAGTGGATGTGTATCACATCAACTCTAACGAATATCGGTTTATAGATAAATCGCTTAAAGCCGATATTGGCCTGAGTGTGCTTTGGTCTGTAGATCAAACAAGTTCTCAGGCGACGAAAAATTGCATGTGAAGGGAGACTTCGGATTACAAATCGTGCCAAGAAAGACATATTTGGGAGAGATGGATTTTCAGGTCCTTGACTAGCGGTAATTTTAAATTGTTTGCTGTCGTTCGCGAAGTGAAGAACACAATTTCATTAAAATGATAATTATAAAATTACCATAATCACTATTGGTGTTAATTAACACAAAATGTCGCGCAAGTTATCAGTCGATTTTGTTAATAAATTCATAGAAAACTATATGGGAGTTTTTCATGCCTTAGAAAATTAAAAAGTAAAAAATACAATAACAAAAATTTTAAAATGCGGTTTACGAAAAATTAGTTGACCTGTGCAAAGAAGAAAATTTTGGAAACGCTGACAAATATGACACCTTAAAAAAAATAACACTTGAAGAAATTTCGGCGTAATATTTTTGATGCTCCCGTGAACAAAATATTCTATGTCAGTGTGCAGTGCGCAAAGAGTTAACTGTGCAGATCTAGCCGAAAATCGGAAGTAATAAATCATCCCATCGGTTGAAGAACGTTGGGTCGGTGCACTGATGTCGGTGTTATATCCCGAGAGGGGCCCAATACACCTAATAAAATGGAACAGACAAAATAAAGCTTCAAACATGATTATTTTTATACTAAAATTCTGAAGTTTATAAACTGCACATTTTATTTATTTATTTATTTATTTTATCTTGTTTTCGAACTATAATAAACATTTCAAACAATGTCTGTAACTTATTTTAATGTAAATTATATTCATGTGGTTAACAAAATCAGATGTAATATTAGTGTGATTTTGACCTTATTCTAGATTTTATTACAGCAGAACGGCGTATCCTTTTTAAATTTTAGAAGTTACGGAAACTAGTTCAAGAAACAATTAGATATCTCGTATTTTTGGAACAAAATCTACCAAAATGTCCGATAACAGCAATTGTTTTTCATAGAAACAAACAGTCTTCAAACCAGCCTTTAACAACTCGATATTACAAACATGCCTCTTAAGTTCTTAATGCGTTTTTTTCTCTCTTGTAATTATTTGTAATGTTAACGCCGAAAGTTTATGTCATTCTGTTATTTACTTTGAACATATATTTTCATTTTGTGTTAATATTTTTGTAACACCACGAATATAAATTTTACTTAAAATCTTGTTTTACTTTAATCTTGTAAAACTAAACAATTATACCAGTTTAAAAACCCTTGGAAAGTTTCTGTCAGTCTTCAGATATAGTCAAATAAAAATATGCGCCAAATTCATTTAAATTCAATTCTTTCTTATCACGTTACAACGCGTTGCTTCATATTTTTTATGTCAAGTATATTTTCATATTGTGTACATATATGTTTATACACATTACTGTTTACGGAACAATGTTAATTATGGATTTATGGATAACTCCTCGTATAAGAGCAGAGTGAAGGGTGTTTGCCTTTGCTAATGTTTGATGGCGCCATCTGATTTAGAGTAAAATAACTGTAGCTCACTATTTAGGCGAAGTAAAATTTGTATTAGGTTGTCCAACTATAATATACTTAAACAATGGTTATATGTTATTCGTTCCGCGAAGGAAACGCAGAAACACGTTCCAGTAATCAATGACTTTTATGGGTAACGCCAGTCACCACAATACCAGCTCTCCGGCTGTATATTAAAATGGTGACATTTACAACCGAGTCGGCAGCAATCCCATGACCCTGATTAGCGACAACTTTTTGTCTTTTTGGCGCAATATTTTTTTCGCCGCTTCAAAGAAAACCGCCGAGAATTAAATCCGCACTTCTTCGCACCTAACATTACCATCGTCGAACGGGTTTGTCGAGAGCAATTTTCATGGTATTTTAACAAGATCAAGCGTCGGAAAGGAAAAACACTTAAAAACATGACCACCGCTAAAGTGTAATCATCTTGAAAGATTCCGACAGCAATAATTTAATTTTATGGCATGGACATTTTGGGCTCGCGGGTTATTTCAGGAACGGACTTTGCTGAAATGAAACCAAGAACCATAATTAACCTCGCTTTCTAAATAAAGCGCTGCGCGGTTATTACGATGATTTAACGCTGGAAAAGAAAACGGCGAGGACGAGGCACTTCCTAGATGGGCCAGGTTCAGACTCTCGTTAGCGGCGACGCACTCGTGTACTTGTGGTTTATGAATCCGCCCTAGCATAGACGCTTTTTTGGTGAAATAAACAGCCCCGCAATCACGCATCCTAGAAAAACCTTCCGTCGCAGATGTCGCCTCTGAAACATAGTAATTTATTAAAAAAGCGAAAATGTCTAATAACAGGCGCAAAAAATAAATTCATCAAAATTACGGGTTGCCTTACAAATAGTAGAAGTCGAAGTGGTACGCCAAACCAAGACCACCAGTAAATAATTCAATTAAGTCTGCTACCCTAATAACACAGTAGGCAGGTGGTCTCACTGTTTTGTTTACTATTATTTTGGAATATTTTATAGTAATTTTGCACCACTCGAATTAACTCATCAAACCATTTTAGACCACACACGCGTTCCCGCATTTATATTCCGAGATGAACACCGAGAGGGACGTCTGCGCTCGTAATGAATTATCATTGGTTTTTAATTTCACTCATGAAACTTTCATATCGACGAAAAAGCAAAAAGATTTTTGTCGGCGATTGTTGTTTTATCAGCTGACCAGCTGACGCAGCATTGTCTCATCGCATAATGAAATCTTAATAATGGCAAATTACGACTCTAATAAATCTGTACCAATAAAAGCGCCTCATTTAAATGACAGATGTTTACTAGTTTAGCGCGTAATAGTACAGCGCGGCCGGTTTTTCTCTGCAAATTAACTGCAATCAGTTATGTGAGATACTTAGCGAAATTAGATTCAGTCACGAAGTTCAAACAGCAGACGGGAAAAAAACTGACCGAGGTAAGCAAACTGGAATTAATCGAGAACAGAAATTGGCGAAGACTTCGACATTTCTACCTAAAAATTGCTTCATATGTAGTTCTCGTAGTTGGGGACGTAACATTTTTTAGAGCCCCATAGAAGCGTCCTGGTGAATGAGCACGGGAAAAATTTAGAGGAGTGTCCAAAAGGCCTAAATTTTACTTCATTTAAAAGTAAGATAAAATAGCACTGAGCCTCTGGAAAATTCCCAATTATCAGATGGTCAGGTCAGGTCAAAGAATCTCGCAGATCTTTCTGTGTATTGTTTTTGAAGCAATTTGTAAGATTTTTTGTTTTTTTTTTTAAGTAGTTTGAAATTTGTATTGTATTTCTAAATTCTCCCTCTCTTTTTGACTTGTTTTAGGTATCCCTCTTTTCAGGGTGTCTCTCTTCAGGTTTTCTCTTTCGAGTTCCTCCCTCTTCAAGGTGTCCCTTTAAATTCTCTCTAGTTTTTTCCGTTGAAGTTTTTTCTCGTCAGGTTTTTTTCAGTTTTTTTGCTCGCTCATTTCGGGTTCTCCTTTTTCAGCTTCTCACATTTCCAAATCTCTTTTCAAGTTCTCCCTATTCAGGTACTCTTCTTTGGAGTCTTCTCTTTTCAAGTTCTCTCTTATAGATTGTCTCCCTCTTTCTCCCACTCGTTCTAGGATCTCTTTCTTCAGGTTTTTTATTTACAAGTTCTTCCTTCAGGTCCTCTCTGCAGTTTCTCCCTTTTCAGGTTCTTTCATTTCAGGTTCTTTTTTTTTCAGTTTCTGTTTTTAGACTCTCTTTTCGGGTTCTCAGATTACAAGTTTTCTCTTCAGGCTCTTTCCTTTCAGGTTATTTCTCTTCAGGTCCTCCCATTTCCTTCTTTTCCATTTCAGGCTTGCTTTATTCAAGTACTCTGTTTTCAGTTTCTCCCTTTTCAGGTTCTTTGTTTTCAATTTCTTTTCAATTCCTCTCATTTAGGGCTGGCTTTTTTCAGGTTGTCTCTTTTCAGCTTCTCTCTCTTCAGCTTCGTATGTTTTCAGCTTTTTTGTTTCAATTTCCTCTTGTTTCAAGTTCTCCCTATTCAGGTAGTCTCTTAGTTTTCTCTTTTCAAGTTCTCTCGTATAGATTGTCTGCCTTTTTCTCTCACTAATTCCAGGATCTCTTTCTTCAGATTTTTTGTTTACAGGTTCTCCTTTCAGGTCCTGTCTTCAGGTTTTTTCTTTTCAGTTTCTGTTCTCAGACTCTCTTTTCGGGTTTTCGCATTTTAAATTCTCTCTCTTCATGCTGTCTCCTTTCACGTTTTTTCTTTTCAGTTTCTTTCTCTTCAGGTTCTCTCATTTCCTTCTCTTTCCTTTTAGGCTTGCTCTGTTCAAGTACTGTTTTCAGATTCTTTCTTTACAGATTCTCCCTCTCTTTCTCTCGAGATTCTCTTTCATTCTTTTCAGCTTTTCTCAATTTTCAAGTAGTTGTTTCCCAGATTCTCTCTTTAAGTTCTCCATTTTTAGGTTCTTCCTCTTCAGGTTCTTTCTTTTCAGCTTCTTTTTTCGTCCTCTCTCTGTTCAGTTTCTTTCTTCTGTGGTTCTCTCTTTTCAAATTCTCTCATTTAGCGCTGGCTCTTTTCAGGTTGGCTCTTTTCAGGTTCTCTTTCGTCAGGTTCTCACATTTTCGGCTTTCTTGTTTCAAGTTCCTGTTGTTTCAAGTTCTCCCTATTCAGATACTCTCTTGGATTTTTCTTTTCAAGTTCTTTCGTTTCAGATTTTCTTCTTGTTCTCTCGATTCTACCTCTCTTTCTCACTCGTTCCAAGTCTACCTCTTTTTGGGGTCTCTCTCTTCAGATTTTTTCTTTCTAGGTTCTCCCTTTTCCGGTTCTCACTTTCCAGGTTCTCCCTTGTCAAGTTCTCCCTATTCAGGTACTCTATTTCCGAGTTCTCACTTTTCAAATCCTTTGCTCCTTTCTCTCTAGATTTTCTCCCTCTCTCTTTTTCCAAGTTTTTGTTTTTTCACTGGGTTTTCTCTCTCTATCACTATTTCTCTCCAGGTTCTCCCACTTGTTTCACGTCCCTGTCTTTTCGAGATTTCTCTCTTTAGATTTTCTCTTTTCAGGTTCTCCACTTTCAGGCTGCCTCTCTTTAGTTTCTTCCTTTTCAGGTTATCTCTCTTCAGGTTTTCTCTTATCAGAGTCTCTGTTCAGGTTTTTCCTTTCCAGGTTCTCTTTTTTCAAGTTGTCATTTTTTAGGTTTTCTTTTTTGAGGTTTAGTCCTTTCAAATTCTCTCTTTTCAAGTTTTCTCTTTTCAGATTCTCTTTGACTTTCTTCCTAATGTCTTCCTCTCTCTTTCACTCGTTTCAAGTCTCATCCTTTTCCCGGTCTCTCTTCAGGTTCTCTCTTTTCAAGCTCTCCCTTTAGATTCTCACTCTTCTAGTTCTTCCTATTCAAGTACTTTCTTTTGGAGTTCTCTCTTTTCAAGTTCTCTCTTACAGATTTCCTGCTTCTTTCTCTCTAGGTTCTGGCTCACTCGTTTCGGGTTTTCTGTCTTCAGGTTCTTCCTTTTCAGGTTCTTTCTCTTCAGATTGTCTATGTTCAGGTTCTTTCTCTTCAGGCCCCTCATTTCCTTCTCTTTCTGTTTAGGCTTCTCCTATTCCAAGTTCTCTGTTTTCAGGTTCTTATTTTACAGATTCTCCCGAGATTTTCTTTCACTGTTTTCAGATCTTCGTCTTTTCAGGATTTCTCTTTTCAAATTCTCTCTTTCCAGATTCTCTCCTACTTTATTCCGAAATTCTCCCTTTCTCTTTTCAGGTTCTCTCTTTAGGTTCTCCCTCTTCTCGTTTTTCCTGTTCAAGTTACTTTTCAGTTTTTTGCTCGCTCCTTTCGAGTTCTCCCCTTTTAGATTCTCAAGGGTCTGTCTTCAGATTCTCTCGTTTCAGGTCCTTTCTTCTCAGTTTCTGTTTTCAGTCTTTTCGGGTTCTCGGATTTCAGGTTTTCTTTCTTCAGGCTTTCTTCTTTCAGGTTCTTTTTCTTCAGGTCTTCTCATTGCCTTCTCTTTCTTTTTAGACTTGGCCTGTACAAGTACTCTGTTTTCAGGTTCTCTCTACAGATTCTCCTCCTCTTTTGTCAGAGATTCTCTTTCGCTCTTTTCAGATCTTCCTTCTTCAGGATTTCTCTCTTCAGGTTTTCTGTTTTCGACTTCTCCCTTTTCAAGTACTAGTCTACTGTTTATCAATGACCTTAGTGACATAATGGATAGTAACAGATTGTTCTACGCAGACGACTTGAAATTATACGCCAAAATTGATTGTTTTAGCGATTGCTTAAATCTTCAACATGATTTAGATAAAGTTTATAACTGGTGTTGCGAGAATTGTCTGTTTCTGAACATTGGTAAATGCAAGGTGATATCTTACAGTCGTAAAAGGCAGATTACTCAGTTTGACTATAGCATTAATAATGACTTAATACAACGTTGCTCGAAAACTACTGACTTAGGTGTGACATTTGATACTGAATTTACCTTCAGGGAACATATTACCATTAAAATTAAGGAATCATGCCGTGTTTTAGGCTTCATTTACAGAAATTGTTCTGATTTTAGAAATAGAAACGATAGTTTGAAGACCCTATATTACGCTTTGGTGCGTTCTAAACTCGAGTATTGCTCTCTAATTTGGTATCCTGTGTACTCCTATATGGTTAAAGGGATAGAGCGTATCCAACGTAAATTTCTGAAATTTCTTTATCGCCAACGTTTTGGTTATTACCCTCATAGACACTTTGAGCATTCCATCCTTTTGTCTATCTTTGGAGTATTGTCACTTGAAACAAGGAGGGTCTTATCATCCATTAATTTTGTATATAAGTTAAATAATTTTTATATTGACTGTCCCCTGCTTTTAGATTATCTTAATTTTTATGTGCCTCGTTTATCGAGTAGAAGTAGTCGCACGTTTTATTGCACCTTTAATAGAAGTAATGCCCTAAAGAGATCGCCTATCACGGTTGCTTGCTCCAACTTTAATATATTTGCGAAAGATTGTGACCTTAACTTCGATTCCTTAAAATGTATTCTAGGTAAAGCTGTTCTCGAGTTTAGCAAAAAATAGTTTATCTTTATCTAATTAGTTTATATATTTTTCTATATGTTTTTGTGCGCATCTGTACACTTATTTGTTTATTGTTTTTTATATATGTATTTTGTATTTTTTTCTTTTGCCTACTTGTGGCTTATGCTGTTTGGCAAATATATATCTATTATTATTATTATTATTAGTTTTCCAGATTCTCTCTTTAAGTTCTCACCTTTCAGGTTCTTTCTTCTCAGGTTCTTTTTTCTCCCTCTTTCTCTTCAGATTCTTTCTTTTGTGGTTCTCTCTTTTCAGTTTCTCTCATTTCGGGCTGTCTCCTGCCCGTTAAGTTCTTTCTCTTCAAGTACGTTTTATTTCAAGTTCTCCGTATTCAGGAACACTGTTTTCGAGTTTTCTTTCCAAGTTCTCGGTTTTCAGATTTTTTCCTTGTTTCTCTCTAGATTCTTCCTCTCCCTCTCTTTCACTCGTTCCAGATCTTAGTCTTTTCAGGTTCTTTCTTTTCAGATTATTTCTTCTCAGGTTCTTTCTCTTCAGGTCCTCTCATTTCCTTCTCTTTCTGTTCAGGCTTGCCCGATTCAAGTACTCTGTTTTCAGGTTCTCTCTTTACAGATTCTCCCCTCTTTCTTCCGAGATTCTTTTTGACTCTTTTCAGGTCTCTGTCCTTTCAGGCTTTCAGGTTCTCCCTTTTTTAGTATTCGTTTCCCAGGTGGTCTCTTTAAGTTCTCCCTTTTCAGGTTCTTTCCTTTCAGGTTCTTTCTCTTCAGGTTCTCTTTTCAAGTTCTCCCTATTCAGGTACTCTCTTTTCGAGTTCTCACTTTTCAAATTCTCTGCCCCTTTCTCTCTAGATTTTCTACCTCTCTCTTTCTCTAGGTTTTTGCCTTTTCACTTTTTCTGTCTAGGTTCCCCCACTTGTTTCAAGTTCTTGTCTTTTCAGGTTCTCTCTCTTCAGGCTCTCTTCTTTCCGATTCTTTCTTCTCAGGTTTTTTCTTTTCAGGTTCTTCCTCTTCGGGTTCTTTCTTTTCAGATCCTTTTTTCGCCCTCTCTCTGTTCAGGTTCTTTCTTTTGAGGTTCTCTCTTTTCAGTTTTCCTCATTTCGAATTGTCTCATTTCAGGTTGTCCCTTTTCAGGTTCTCTCTTTTCAGGCTCTCACATTTTCGGCTTTCTTGTTTCAAGTTTCTCTTCTTTCAAGTTATTCCTATTCAGGTACTTTCTTTTCATGTTTTCTTCTTGTTTCTCTCTAGATTCTCCATCTCCCTCTGTCACTTGTTCCAGGTCTCCAGGGACTCTTTCTTCAGGTTTTTTTCTAGCTTCTGTTTTTTTCGGATTCTCACTTTCCACGTTCTCTTCTTCAGGTTCTCCCTTTTCAAGTTTTCGTTTCAGGTTGTTTTTCTTCAGGTACCCACTTTTCAAGTTCTCTTCCCCTTCTCTCTATATATCCTTCCTCTATCTGTCTCCAGATTTTCGCTTTCTCTCCAGATTTCCATTACTCTTTCTTTCTAAGTTCTCTCATTCGTTTCACGGTCTCTCTCTTCAGGTTTTCTCGTTTTAAGTTCTTCCTTTTCAGGTTTTCTCTTATCAGCATCTTCCTGTTCAGGTTTTCCTTTTCCTGGTTCTCTCTTTTCAATTTGTCATTTTCTAGGTTCTTTCTTTTCAAGTTCTATCTTTTCAAATTCTCTTTTATCAGGTTGGCTCCTTTCAAGTTCTATTTTTTTTCATTTTCCTCTTACGATTCCTACCTGTTTAAGTAGTTCCTTTTCAAATTCTTTGACTCTTTCTGTCTAGATTCTCCCTATCTCTAAAACTTGTTCCAGATTGCCCTCTTTTCGAGGTCTTTTTCTTCAGGTTTTTTCTTTCCAGGTTCTCTTCTTCAGGTTCTCGATTTTCAAGTTTTCGCTTCAGGTTATTTCTCTTCAAGTTCTGCCTTTTCAAGTTCTTTCTCTTCAAGTTCTGCCTATTCAGGTACCCACTCTTCAAATTCTCTCCCTCTTCTCTCTATATATTCTTCCTCTATCTTTCTCCAGATTTTCGCTTTCTCTCCAGATTTTCCAGTACTCTTTCTTTCTAGGTTCTCTCATTCGTTTCAGGTCTCCCTCTTTTTAGGGTCTCTCTCTTCAGGTTTTCTCTTTTTAGGTTCTCCCTTTTCAGGTTTCTCTCTTTGGTTTTCCTTTTCCTGGTTCTCTCTTTTCAACTTGTCATTTTTTAAGTTCTCTCTTTTCAAGTTCTATCATTTCAAATTCTCTTTTATCAGGTTCGCTCCTTTCAAGTTCTATTTTTTTTAATTTTCCTCTTACGATTGCTACCTGTTTAAGTACTTTCTTTTCAAATTCTTTGACTCTTTCTCTCTAGATTCTCCCTTTTTCTAAAACTTGTTCCAGATTGCCCTCTTTTCAAGGTCTTTTTTTTCAGGTTTTTTCTTTCCACGTTCTGCTTTTTCGTGTTTTTACTTTCCAAATTCTCTTCTTCAGGTTCTCGATTATCAAGTTTTCGCTTCAGGTTATATCTCTTCAAGTTCTCCCTTTTCAAATTCTTTCTCTTCAAGTTCTGCCTATTCAGGTACCCACTCTTCAAATTCTCTCCCTCTTCTCTCTATATATTCTTTCTCTATCTTTCTCCAGATTTTCGCTTTCTCTCCAGATTTTCCAGTACTCTTTCTTTCTAGGTTCTCTCATTCGTTTCAGGTCCCCCTCTTTTCAGGGTCTCTCTCTTCAGGTTTTCTCTTTTTAGGTTCTCCCTTTTCAGGTTATCTCTCTTCAGGTTTTCTCTTATCAGGATCTTCCTGTTCAGGTTTTCCTTTTCCTGGTTCTCTCTTTTAAACTTGTCATTTTTTAGTTTCACTCTTTTCAGGTTTTATCTTTTCAAATTCTCTTTTATCAGGTTCGCTTCTTTCAAGTTCTATTTTTTACTTTTCCTCTTACGATTCCTACCTGTTTAAGTAGTTCCTTTTCAAATTCTTTGACTCTTTCTCTCTAGATTCTCCCTATCTCTAAAACTTGTTCCAGATTGCCCTCTTTTCAAGGTCTTTTTCTTCAGGTTTTTTCTTTCCAGGTTCTGCTTTTTCGTGTTCTTACTTTCCAAATTCTCTTCTTCAGGTTCTCGATTTTCAAGTTTTCGCTTCAGGTTATTTCTCTTCAAGTTCTGCCTTTTCAAGTTCTTTCTCTTCAAGTTCTGCCTATTCAGGTACCCACTCTTCAAATTCTGTCCCTCTTCTCTCTATATATTCTTCCTCTATCTTTCTCCAGATTTTCGCTTTCTCTCCAGATTTTCCAGTACTCTTTCTTTCTAGGTTCTCTCATTCGTTTCAGGTCCCTCTCTTTTCAGGGTCTCTCTCTTCAGGTTTTCTCTTTTTAGGTTCTTCTTTTTCAGGTTATCTCTCTTCAGGTTTTCTCTTATCAGGATCTTCCTGTTCAGGTTTTCCTTTTTCTGGTTCTCTCTTTTCAACTTGTCATTTTTTAGGTTCTCTCTTTTCAGGTTTTATCTTTTCAAATTCTCTTTTATCAGGTTCGCTCCTTTCAAGTTCTATTTTTTTTACTTTTCCTCTTTTGATTCCTACCTTTTTGAGTACTTTCTTTTCAAATTCTTTGACGCTTTCTCTCTAGATTCTCCCTATCTCTAAAACTTGTTCCAGACTACCCTCTTTTCAAGGTCTTTTTCTTCAGGTTTTTTCTTTCCAGGTTCTGCTTTTTCGTGTTCTTACTTTCCAAATTCTCTTCTTCAAGTTCTCGATTTTCAAGTTTTCGCTTCAGGTTATTTCTCTACAGGGTCTCTCATTTCAGGTTCTCTTTTCAAGTTCTTCTTAATCAGGTACTCACTTTTCGAGTTCTCTCTCCCTTTCTCTGTAGATATTCTCCCTCTCTCTTTCTCCAGATTTTCGCTTTCTCTCCGGATTTTGTGTCTCTATCACTCTTTCACTCTAGGTTCTCTCATTCGTTTCAAGTCCCCTTCTTTTATGTTCTCAGTTTTCAGGCTTTCTCTCTTTAGTTTGTCCCTTTTCAGGATATCTCTCTTCAGGTTTTCTCTTATCATGATCTTCCTGTTCAGGTTTTCCTTTTCCTGGTTCTTTCTTTTCAACTTGTCATTTTTTAGGTTCTCTGTTTTCAAGTTTTATCTTTTCAAATTCTCTTTTATCAGGTTCGCTCCTTTCAAGTTCTATTTTTTTTTAATTTTCCTCTTTCGATTCCTACCTGTTTAAGTACTTTCTTTTCAAGTTCTTTGACTCTTTCTCTCTAGATTCTCCCTATCTCTAAACCTTGTTCCAGATTGCCCTCTTTTCAAGGTCTTTTTCTTTGCAGGTTCTGCTTTTTCGGGTTCTTACTTTCCAAGTTCTCTTCTTTAGGTTCTCGATTTTCAAGTTTTCGCTTCAGGTTCTCCCTTTTCAAGTTCTTTCTCTTGCGGTTCTCTCATTTCAGGTTCTCTTTTCAAGTTCTCCCTATTCAGGTACTCACTTGTCGAGTTCTCACTTTTTAAATTCTCTCCCCCTTTCTCTCTAGATATTTATTCTCCTTCTCTCTTTCTCCAAGTTTTCGCTTTCTCTTCGGATTTTCTGTCTCTAGGTTTTTTCATTCGTTTCAGGTCTCCCTCTTTTCAAGTTCTCAGATTTCAGGCTTTCTCTCTTTAGTTTCCCCCTTTTCAGGATTTCCCCATCCAGGTTCTCTCTTTTCAAGTTGTCATTTTTTAGCTTCTCTGTTTTAAGGTTTCGTCTTTTCCAACTATCTTTTTTCAGGTTCCCTTCTTTCTAGTTCTATTTTTTTTTTTAATTTTCCCCTTTCGGTTCTCTTTTCAAACTCTCTTTCTCTCTAGATTCTCCCTATCTCTCTCCAGGTTTTGACTCTCTATCGCTGTTAGTTTGCCAAGTTTTTCTTACAGGGTTTTTGAAGTAGTTTGAAAGAATGTCGGGCATTCCTTATTTTGTTTTGGAAGTAATTTGAAAGACTCGCGAAGACCACTTTTGTGTGGTTTTTTAAGTAATTTAAAAAAATATCTGGGATTCTAATCCTATTTCGCATGTTTGAGACAACAAAATTTAAAAATAAAAGTTCTGAGGAGTTTGGAAAACACTCAGGTTTGTGAACCCATGCACGTATGTGTAACCCACCCAAGATAACATCTCGTGATCCATGATACCCTCATTCTAAATACTTTCACCGTGACTAATGTCTAATAAGCTTGTTAATAGAATTGTCACGTCTCAGACTTCAAATGTTTTAGGTAGATATCAATCTGTGATTTTTTTATCTCCTAGAATGTATCAGCTTGTTTATTCTAACGACACCGGGTCTAGCCCAGAAAAAATCAACTGAATCTCGAAATAACGAACACTACTTTATCGAAAATCGCTTTCAAGAACCGCTTATCCCGAAATTACCACACAATAGCGTCGTCGTAATGGACAACGCGCGCTTCCAACCAAAATACCCCACCCGTGTGTGGCCAGCGACAATTTCCTTGCGAAAAACGTGATCATGACGAATTTCGTTGAAATACCACGCCGACTTGTAAATCTCCCATCAGACAGATAAATCACGTTCTAAACCCGGCGTTTGCGGCGACGTTCACGCCTATCACGCGAAACTTTTCTTATTAATACGGCAATCGTAATGGACTTCGAAATAAATTAAATTTTAATGATGCTGTCGTTTATTTTTTGCTTCGATCGACGCTTATTAGTGTGAGAATGCAGCCGTGGCATAATCAACATTGTTTGTTCTACTACCTAGGTGGCACGGTCAGCTCACGACGCTAGAATAATCCTCGTATCTTCAGTCACTGTCAACTATGTCTTTACCTGCCAGCTCAGGTGGACGATATCGCGGTACTCCATCATAGGAGTCCATTGTTCGGAGGCGTACTTCAGACACGCGTATATTAGAGGCTTATCGGGGACGTGGTTATCGCGATTCGTAATTAAGACGAGTTTGCGACACGTGTTAGAAGGAAATTACAATCGCGGTTTTGGGGAGGATGAGGATTTTCGTAATTGTGAAAGTTGTTGATATATCGAAGTATGGTTTAACCTCTCGATAAATTTTATATGCAACGTGTGAGTAAATTATTTAAACGGTTTAGATATCGCCTAAAGTGTCCGGTTATGCCACTGTACGTTGCGTAGTAATAACCAGAGAACACAGAGAAGCGTCATAGTTTAAATTAAATGATGGTTAAGGACTCCTCGAGTTATGTTGGCAACAGTGTTTGTTTCTAACTAGGAATAAAATTAACTAGAAAAAATGTCATAATATTTTTAACGACGCGTTTTACTTTCGACAAATTGACATTAGATTTACTAGAATATTACAAGCTGCTTACTGTTTCCTTCACTTTAATTCAGGTCAGACGAATTACAGTTCGTCGTCTGAGAACTTGTTTGACCTACAGACCAGAGCGCACTCAGGCCAAAGTCGACTCTAAGCGTTCGGAAACGATTTGATTTATAAGCCATGATCCGTGATCTGATACACATTTTTGGGATTTTTCAGTTTTTCGATTCGTCAGTTTTTCGATTCAGCAGTTTTTCTTTCATTTTTCAGTTTTCAGTTTATTTCTGTTCTTCGACTTTTTCATTTTTAACTTCTGGATTTTTCAATGTGTCGACGTTTTACTTTATCGATTTTTATATTTTAGATTTCTCAATTTTTTGGTATTTTAATTTTTCAATATTTAAAATTTTTAATTTCAGCTCTTCCGTATTTCAATTTTTCAAATGTTTCGATTTCTTGAGCTTTCGATTTTTCGACTTCCCGGTTTTAGATCTTCTGTTTTTCAATTGTCGTTTTTTCAATTTCCCAATTTATAAATTTTAGATTTTTAAGTTTTTGATATTTTAATTTTTCAATATTTAAAATTTTAGATTTTTCGATTTCTCGAGTTTTCATTTCAGTTCTTCCATATTTCAATTTTTCAAGTTTTCGAATTTTTCAAATGTTTTGATTTCTTAATCTGTCGATTTTTCGACTTGTCGGTTTTAGATTTTGTTTTTCAATTGTCATTTTGTCAAATTTTCGAATTTTTCATTTTTCAAATTTGACTTTTATAAACTCTCAATTTTTCGATTTTTCAATTCTTTAATTTTTTGATTTTTCAGGTTTTTGGTTTTTTAATTTTACGATTATTAAATATTTCGATTTTTCAATTTTTGACTTTTCTAAACTCTTTATTTGTCGATTTTTCAGGTTTTTTGGTTTTTCAATTTTTCAATTTTTTCAGGTCTTGATTTTTCAACTTCACTTTTTTTTTTTGATTCTTCGATTTCTCAATTTTTCAATTTTTTAATTTCTCAGTTTTTGGGTTTTTTCAGTTTTTCGATTCGTCAGTTTTTTGTTTCATTTTTCAGCTTTTCGATAGTTCGGTTTTGGGATTTTTCAATATTTCTGTTCTTCGACTTTTCCATTTTGACTTCTAGATTTTTCGATGTGTCGACTTTTTATTTTTTCGATTTTTAAACTTTAGATTTGTCAATTTTTTTGTATTTTAATTTTCCAATATTTAAAATTTTTGATTTTTTCGATTTCTCGATTGTTCATTTCAGCTCTTCCATATTTCAATTTTTCAAATGTTTCGATTTCTTAATCTTTCGATTTTTCGACTTCCCGGTTTTAGGTTTTCTGTTTTTCAATTGTCGTTTTTTCAGTTCTTCGATTTTTAAATTTTAGATTTTTCAGTTTTTTGATATTTTAAATTTTTAATATTTAAAATATTAGATTTTTCGATTTCTCGATTTTTCATTTCAGTTCTTCGATAATTCAATTTTTCAATTTTTCGAATTTTTCAAATGTTTTGATTTCTTAATCTATCGATTTTTCGACTTCCCGGTTTTAGATTTTGTTTTTCAATTGTCATTTTGTCAAATTTTCGATTTTTTAATTTTCAAATTTGACTTTTATAAACTCTCAATTTTTCGATTTTTCAATTAATCGATGTTTTGATTTTCCCATTTCTTGACCTTCGAGTGTTCTTCAATTCATTAATTTTTTGATTTTTCAGGTTTTTGATTTTTCAATTTTACGATTTTTAAATATTTCGATTTTTCAATTTGTGACTTTTCTAAACTCTTTATTTGTCGATTTTTCAATTAATTGATTTTTCGATTTCTCAATTTTTCAATTTTTTAATTTCTCAGTTTAGGATTTTTCAGTTTACTTGTTATTTATTTTTCGATCTTACGATTTTGCAGGTTTTTGATTGTTCAATTTTTCTATTTTTTAAGGTTTCTATTTTTCGACCTCACTTTTTTGATTTTTCGATTTTTCAGTTTTTAGATATTTCAGTTTTAGGATTTTTCAATATTTCGATATATTAATTTTTCAATATTTCTTAATCTTTCGATTTTTCGACTTCCTGGTTAGATGTTCTGTTTTTCAATTTTTCGATTTGTTAATTTTTCATTCCCGATTTATCGAGATTTGGTTGTTCAGGTTTTCGATTTATCAGTTTTTCAATTTTTATTTAGGCCTATTTCGGTTTCTCAGTTTTTCCAGTTTTCCATTTTTTCGTTTTTTGATTTTTCCGCTTTTCCAATTTTTCAATTTTTAACTTTTTGTTTGTCGATTTCTCTATTTTTCGATTTTTCGACTTCAGCACTTTTCGATTTCTCGTTCTTTTGATTTTTCAATCTCAATCTTTCAATTTATCAAATTTTTTAGTTTTTTGATTTCTCGATTTATCGAAATTTAGATTTTTCGATGTTTAGATTGTCAATTTCTCAGTTTATAAATTGTTGTTTTTCGGTTTTTAAATTTTAGATTTTTGAATTTTACATTTTTCGATTTTTCAATGTTTCGGTTCTACGATTTTTCTATTATTAGATCTCTCGATTTTTTGAATTTTCGATTATTTTTTTTCTTCCTGTTAATATCATACAAAAATTGTCACTAAAAACATTTAAAAATTCATACAAAAAAAAACAGTGGTTCCAAAACATTTTCCCGAAAAAAATCCATTGGGTTACTACGATTTCGACAATATTCCTAGTTTAAGACATTTTGCTATACCAAAAATATTCGCTTAGTCGTTATAAAAACGGACCAAACAATTATTTCTCGCAGAAATTATAATATTGGCATCGACTATTTAAATTTGGCGCTTGTCTTTGGCGGTTGAGGACTCCAATGTCAATAAGGGTGGATTTGCAAAATCAGCCTGTATGTCGCATCTATATTAATCTATGTAATAACTGTACGTAGAGGAGCGGATCCCGTCCTTTAATTAAATGCGACAGTGTACTTGTTTGTATTAAAATGTCACTGTGTTATTTACATCCTGGTAGATAACACGCGCGAGGTGAGTCACCATCCAGCGCACATGACTTACCAGGGACCGACTAGCCCGATTTCACACTAGTCCAAAGTTCTACGTGTAAAGTAGCCCTATAGACTATAGATAATTCTAGTATGTTCTGTTCCCGGAGCTTCTCGAACAGGTGCGAACCACGTGTCAAGAATTAACAGTCCCATAAATTCATAGCGTTTGAATTAATTAAAATAATTACGTCTACGATTCAGCCGTTTACAAATCGACTTGATTGGAGCGCTATTAATGAAAACAAAAATTTTTTATAGTTCGCTGTGATATATTACGTGTCTGGGATTTCTCGGCGTCCTTCCAGCGCGTTACGAAACCAACATCGCATATTAAGTTATTAAAACAATTTTAGAAATTAGCACTTCATAAATCAACTTCAAAAACGGATCTTTATCGGCGATAAGAGTGGCTAAAACACTTAATTCGTTATTCCAGGTGAATTATACGTGGGGTTAGAGACAAGTCGATCGCTATCTCCAATCCGTAGATGGACAGGCTCCGGGTCACAGAAATGTAAATTTTGTGATTGAATTTTCGATTTTACCTCCTTTCAAGTGCAGTGAAACTAATTAGTAATTGTTGAGTAGGGTATCATTATTCGCTTATTTCGGGCCAGACGGGTTTTAATTAATTTTCGTGATTGCAGGGCTCGAACGTATCGAGTCGGACAAATATGGACCACCGAGAGGACGGTCGGTTTGTTTATTTATACGTGTTGATGCGAGCAATATTTATTTATTTTAGACGGATGTTGAGCGTTTGGGTGATTTAAGTGTGCCAATGCCGCCAAATCGGTAGCGCACTTTACTCAAGTTGCACAGCTGGGAGTCCGATAAATTAGCGGACACAAGAAGGCGGATTGTGGATTTCTAATTGGCGTTACGATTCTGAATCGAATTCGACGCGAATTTCTCGATAATGATGCGAAAAATGTGGAATTAATTGGCGGGAGGAGCGGTAACTGGGACGCGGCGCAAGGTCTTGTGACTTGGAGTAAAAAACGTACTCCTGTATTTGTGGTTTATGAATCCGTGTTGAGGTTTTACCTTGGGCGGCCAGCTTTTTCGAAAATTTTTCGACTCTTCAAATTTTCTTTTTCGAAAATTTTTCATTTTTCCACTTTTGCGATGTTTCAGTTTTACGATTTCTCAGTTTTTGATTCTTCAG